TACAATGATACATAATAATAACAATACTTGATATGCAATCACCTCTTGACCTTCCACTACTCCATTACCACAAACAGCCTTAGTTAGCGTTTTTTCCGGAACATTCTCCAAGCATACATCGATACCCCTTTCAAAACTGTTCACAATACTGTCAACACTACATTCAGACCAGAAAGACGGAAGAACTTGACTAAAAATATAAACATAACTTGATACTGAAAGATATAACAAAACCCTAAAGAAGGAGCCATGAGGCATTGGGGACCAGGACAAGAGCAAGAAGAGCCGTCCATGATATCGTGATCCATTCCAAAATTGTGACCAATTTCATGAGCTAATGTAGCAGCAACAGCAGCAGCATTCGGTGAATGATCCTGTTATTCGTTATTTATGTTAACTCAACTATTACTTACCACATCCACTCCACCGGAATAATCAAAAGAACACATAGTTCCTTTATATGCTTTACCTAACACACCTTCTTCAAAGCGAATATTTCTGAAAACAAGATTATCACTGATAAGTTGAAAAACAACACTCACGTTAGAAGATGAGCATTGTCATGTGGATGTGCTCTTATTATTTGACGACGGTACTCAAGGAACTTATCCAATGTTTTCTCAGCAGCTGTAGCAACATCGAATATATCTTTATCTTTCCATACTTCAACATAGACTAGTGAAACTCGTACTTTAAATGGAAAATATAACTGAAAACAATCTATATTTACATATTCAGAACATAATTATTACCGAATTAACAATATTAGTAACTGCCTGAGCTCGTAATACCGCCTTTTCTTCATCTTTATCATATTTAACATACTGTAAAGAAATTTATGTTTTCAAATAACTTATTGTGAATACCATTGAGTTATCCAGAAACAAGGCAAGTTCCAGATATCTTGTCTTTTCATCTTCCAATTTACTATAATATTCAGGTGATTTGGCAGTGTTGCTCCTCTTATTCCTCGATGAAAAATCTGGAAGTCATATCATAGTGAAATGGTAAAAGAAAAAAGAAACTTACGGCATTCATTCTTTATTTTTGGCGTTAAAAGGAAATTGCCGTCTTCTTCCTTTAACTCGAATATGTTGGTCTTTGTTGGTATCAGCCCAGAAATAGCATCGTTCTCACATACATTCAATGCGCTCAATTGATTATCATGCATTCCTTGAAAGAAACATGACTTTCCTCTGTCAGAAGGTAATATAACATCTCTGAAAGCGAATGTATGAAGATGATAACCAAAAAACAATCAAACTCACTTGTTTTGAAAATAGAATATGCTGAACTGTTGATTATTAGCGTTGGCAAATGTTAAAGTGAAGTTATTGTTCTTGCCTAACTCATACAACTCTTGCTTAGCAAGTAACTTAGAGTTGTTTATAATACGAAGTGGACAACTAGGATAAATGGACATTGAAGCTTCATTAACTGAGCCTAACGTCATTATTTAAAATGTTTTTGACGGGAGTGTATCGTGCGCGTACTGTTAGCGTGACACACGACACACGATTCAAAAACAACACCAAGTATGCGTCAATAATATACGCGCCAACACCGATTGTCCGCCTTTGATGAGCCGATAAATTACATGTCTTTTACTCATACTTGAGAGTATTGATGAGTCATCAAACTATACATGAGTCATAGAGATTGATGAGATAAGAAGTTCCAAGTTATGCATTTCTTTGTTTCTTTCTGAAAACAGATGGTGAACTCATGTACTGTTTTCGTAATGGGTGTCCCATTTTCCTTTTCAATTGGAAGTACTCCAAATCATTTCGGACTTCTTTTTTTCGTACTTGTCAAAAACATTTAGTCTCATGATGTGATCCAATGATTTCTATCGATTTGTTATTATCGAAAGCATTGGGAACATTCAATCCAAGTACCCTTTGTATCGATTCGGACCTGTTCTTCAATGCCTATCTTTCTTATGAACAAAGGAAAAAAAAGAACCTAGACTACACACTTTTCCGCTCGTCTTCATTCCAAGATGCAATTCTTAGTCTGACCCAGAGCCAGACATCAACTTCATTCAGACTTTAGAGTGTCTTTCTCTTGTCTGCACTCTACATATAAACACAGGCAATCAAGAATCTATCGCTGAACTCGTGAAACGCTAGACAACACCTCTCCAGAGGCATGCTATTTTGTTCTTCTCTAGAATCTCTTCAGCCCACTGCGCAGCACTAAATCTATCGCTGTTCACAAGTTCAGACCTACATTTCTCTCAAATCACATTCTCTCTCAGTTGTTTCTGAGGCTTTCTTTTCTTATGGGTTAAACTTTGTTCTCTCATGGAACACGATGCAAACTGGGTTTCTTCGGCAACCCACTCTCTCACATGTCTGAAACCTCATGCAACTCACTCTTGGAACGAAATATTTAGTTCAAAGCTAAGCTGGTTACCGTAGTCGTCTCCCTTTTCAACACTGTCTATCCAATGTCGGAGTTCTCTCTCTTTCAGCGTTCGAAATCGGGTAGTTCAGCTAGTCATTGCAAGCAGAGAAATGAGCCTCTCAGTTTGTATGCTCTCTATTTTTTGTCAAGTTTCTCTGTTTTGCTACACTGAAACAGCATTCGTTCGCCTACTGCGTTGGAGGCATCTAGTTCTCTACATTCACATAGTCATCCGCTTTTCTCTCTCATCTCTCTTTCTCTTCGTTCAGAAAGTTTCTAGCCGACTATAACATTGAATACGGTAGAATACTCCAACTACGCACTCTCTAAAATTCCTCTGGCGTTTCTCCACTCTTTATCGAGAAAAGTCTCTCGTCTGAGTTGCCGGTCAACCCAAGCTCTCTAAATGAGTGTACTCTATCATCGGTCTTTAGGCTCTCTTCTTTAGCATCATTGAAATTTCATTCCCTCATACTATGAAGAAAGCAGGAACCATACCTCTCATTTTTACTGCTGCCTCACATGCCGTTAAGTCTTTTCCTGTTCTCTCTCTTGAAATGTAGAATCTCGTTGAAGAGAATGGCATTCATCGAAATCTCTTTCGTCGCATGGTGTTTCAGCAACGTCATTCTTTTTCTCTGTTCATCTGAAACAAGAACATCTCTCCATGAAAATTGAACTAGTTACCGTAATACCCTCTCAGTTCGCGTGTTCTCTACACACATTGGAACCTCTGGTTTCTCCGTTCAAAATTAAATAATTCTAAGCCTTGCAAGTCTCACCGACATTTCTTCTGTTTCCCACACTCCCTAATCTCACTATAATCTCTTTCTCTTTCTCTCTCCGATTCAACTGCAGAACATGAATCTCTCGTGAAATTGTGAAAAAGGCGACTATTTCTCTTCGAATCGAATGAAGCCTGGCTGAACTTCTGTTTCTATTCTTATTTCCTATTAAAAGAAGTCATTGGCAAGACGAGAAGCTTGTTACTGTAGCAACTGCTACGAGTAAGAACAATCTCTGTACTCTCTCATTTCAGATGGAAAACTAAGAAACTCTCACATATAACTCAACTTTTGAAACTGGAATCTCTCGTTTCAAGCACTCTCTACAACTACTGCTCAAATGCGAATCAATTGTTCGTTAAATTAAAAGAAAACCTCGAGCTAAATCGAACCATTGCTCCATAGTAACAAGTCCTTTTGGGTTCGCAGTTTCATTGATAATCTGAATTTCGAATATCATTGAAATTGGGTAGAAACATTAGGAAAATATGAAAAACTGAAGAGAAATGAAATGAATGGAAACAATAAATACAAAAATCTCAAACATTCTTCGAATATTATGGACAAGTTATGTTGTTAAGAATGAGAAACAATGAAATATGTTATAGATGTTAGAACTACTACAAGACAACACAGTCTGCAACGTCAAAAGTAATGAATTGTAGTGATTAACACAGTTCATGGGGAAATATTTGCTGAATCGTACGCCTACTGAATGGAAATAACAAACATTGAGATAGAATGTGATTTTGAGAGAGCAGTTCATGAACAGTTGAACGTCCGTAACTCAAGAAACAGAGTCAAATATATTCAAATTTATTGCATGGAATTATTCACAAGCCTTTCACTAAGTGATTGAGAGATATCTCATTCTTAGAAGAGGGTAATTCATTTCAGCTAGAACTGAGCCCATCTTATCCGGTTCACTCATGAGATACGTATATGGCAAACGATACCATTAAAAAACAAAGAATTATGATCCATTAAATCTTCTGGCACTCCACAATGGTATGTTAGCGCTAACCAACATCTTGAAAAATCTCAATTGAAGACAATATCCTCAATTCTCATCTTTCACAACACGTGCACAATACAAGAGACTATTCTCTTAGAAGGTATGTTTCTCACATACTTGGTCTAATCAGTTTTTCTACAGACAATGGCTAGGAAAACAATTCTTGACATCTTATTCGATATTCCATCTCAAATCTTCTCCAGCAATGAGTAAGACCATGATTAAAGTTGTTACATAAACTATGAGTTAACTATGCAAATGTATAACAAACTTTCTAATAACATGACTAACTTATAATAATATAAGATTTAATAACAACGCCCCTTAGTAGTTCTCTCACTCTCTTAGTCATCATCGCTTCAACTTTACAGATTACTAAGATATTCTCTTCCTCATTTTAGAAGCCAAAAAACTTTTTCTATTCTTCTTTATATCTTATTCTAACTCATGATTTAGATACTTTACAATGACTCATACTAAGCCATGTAACAAGGAGTCTTGTACCGTATGCTCTTCATTGGGTCCGGATTTCCTATTTTTCGATGACACTAATACAACTTTTGTATTGGATACTTCGAACGATAAGATGTTCATCAGAACTCCTAAAACGGATCGTACGATGAAGAACCACGAGGGAGAGTACACAGACAACAAGTAGAGAATGCTTCACTCTTTCTTATATAAAACTTTTCCAGAGAAGCTCGTAGAAAGGTTTTGAAAGAACAGAAAGAGAGAAGACATAAAGAGATGTTGAGAAAGGTTATCACTTCTTCTCTTCACCGTATGAGCTGTTTGATTTCAGCAAGAAGTATACGAAGATAAAACAATTTCCTATACATACCGGAAAGGAAAGCTCCTTAGAACACTAGGAATTCAGACTGAGACATGTGTCTATTTCTTGTTTGACAAATTCCTTCGAGAGAAGTGCGTTGAGATGGCTGGATTCTATACAACTGTTTCGAGCGATGAGAAGGATCTAATCGTGTATAGGAGAAATGGAAATTCCGATTATGAAAGTATCATGGATGATTCATTTCTTTTTTGCCATGATAATTATATAGAAATCACAAATAAGTTCTATGAGTATGTTGTCCAGCAGTTTTGAATCACACAAATCACCTTTTCTAGCATCGCAGATAATACTGATGATGAAGATGAGGAAGAAGAAGAAGGTGGGTTTGTTGGTGTTTCAATCCGTGCTCGTGACGGATCAACAAAGAACTACATGTATTGGGAGAATTTCCCAGATCCGTAAGTCCATCAGATTATTAAAAGCATAATCAGTTATTCTAAAGATTATCAAGTGATGAAGAGACTCCTTACAATTCTGATGATGAGTACTACCGTGATTCTGAACTCGAAGATGTTGATTATGACACAGATGATAACCCAGTTTACTGGATTTAAATGACAGAAGTGCAGGCTCGTATCTTCAAATCTTACATCAGTGCTAGCCTACATTCCCATTTTGTTTTCTTACTGTATCTATTTTCAATAAAAGTATTTTTTCACATGGAAACCCGGTGAATATCCCATTTCTCGATCATCTGGATGGTTCTGAGAAATAGGAAGACTTCCATCAAGTTGTTTAGTAGAAATTCAATGGTGAGATGGTTTGATGGTGAATTTCTAACAACATGACTATCTTATAATAATATAAGTTTTTATAATAACACAGAAACTATTTCAGTGGCTGCGTCAACTGTACACATCCCTACTACTTCACACTCCTCCCAGCTTTTGAACAAAATAACCAAAAACTATTTTTTTTTGAAGATTTGGCTGTTTCCTCTCCGTCTGAAAAGCAGAAATGGGTCATTCATTATCTACATTAAAAACGAAACTGATGAAGAGGTTAGTGAACTTTCGCATATTCTTTACCCAAGTTTAGGTTATCAAGATCACAAGCAGATGGTTCGAGACAGATTGAAGGCAGGAATGAAACTGAAATGGTTTGAAAAAACTATTAATATTCTCATAAGAAAGACTTAATTTGTAGAATAATGATGCAGTAGAGTTTGAATTCAATTTGGCTAATAGAATGTCAAACGTATGTGTTGAAAACCTGTCGGTAGAAGAAGCTGCGTATAGGGCAGAGTTAACCCGAAAAGTTGAAGAATCGTTTGGAATTCAAGGATACCATGCTCTCGCAGCTCTTCAAGAATTCTACGAGTAACTTTTGAAAATTTGCATCACTAGTTTCTTTATATTATCAGAGAGCACAACAATCCTGGCAGCGTAATGAGTGAAGGTACGGATGGTGGAGTGAGTGTGGATGATTGGGATTTTGTTGAAGTGCAAAGAGTTCAAAGCTCGGAGAATCATTTCGTTTTTGGTGAACAACAGTAAGTTTTTTGATTGTTTCCAAATGTTCCGATAATCAGCTACAATCGATACGATATCTTCATTTCCAGAAGTTCTGATCAAGTTGATGCTGTTTCGTACAAAGGAACCAAAAAAAGTTGTTGTTGTAGTTTGGTATGACTCTCAACCGCAACATCCGAGATCATATGGAAAAAATTTGTTTGTGATATCTTTATCTTATTGAACTGGAGATTTCTTTTCCGCTTTAAGCTTTTTTTCATATTTCTCCGCTTCCGCTTTCCCAGTTCAAAGCTATTTATTGTTCAATAAATTTTTTCATTCTATGAATTGACTATCAATCTTCAGATTAATCGAACGGAAAGCATGTCAATGAGGTTCGATCCTAACCTCACATACGTATATCTGCTCACACTTCTCGCCTCTTAGTTTTGGAAATAAAAAGTTCAAATCGTACTTTTGATCTTTTACAGAGAGCCGTTCCTGCAAGTTGACTAACCATCCACTATTCAGAGCCGTCACACCTCATTATCTATCAACCTTTTCTATAATTACAATCATTTCCTTTCTGTTAAGACTATGAAGATCATTACCATTCAACTTCTACATGTGTTATTTGCAGCAAATGTTCCATGATATTCTAATTGGTTGAATGATATTCAGATATGTGATTACAATGAGTAAGTCATTCTTCAAACACTCACTCATACATTTTTTCGGAGAAGCAACCGTTTTCTGATAACATAACCCTCTTTTGGCTTGAAATTACCGTCCTGTTATAACATGACTAATATTATAATAATATAATTTATAAAAACAACCTCAATTAACTATTTCTCTTCAAACCATATATAGAGCGGTTGTTCTCTAGATTTTCTTCGATTAAACTATGCTTTTGATTGTATTTGCTTGTTCTTTCTCGTCAAATTAACTTTAACGTTTCAGTAATCAAGCAATGAATCAATCCCACGAGAAGCCAACTGATCTGATAGGAATAGGGTAGATTTAAGATTTATTATTTAATAAACTTACAAATAGAAGAAGATTGAATGAGGAAGACTTCACAGAGATTTCTCTGGATTCTGATATTGAGGACAACTCTCATCAAGAATGGAACAAACTGGAAAATGCAAGAAGATTCAAAGTAACTCATAACATTAATTTATTATTAGGAAGTAGATTCTGATGAAAGCTCTGATTCCAAGAGTAGTGTTATAAGAGTCGTGAATACTTCCGTGGATGATCTAGACCTCACCTTGGCCTATGATGTTTGTGATCAAGCATGTGGTACTTCTCCTGATCCCAGTCTCAAACACATCATTTTTGATCAATACAACTCATCCTGCATAACTGAAATTGTTAGTGATAAGATGGTGATTCTATCAGGAAACCCATTCGAAATTCCAATGAAAAAGTTGATGTGAGTTTTATCAAAAACAATTTTTTTCATCATGAGTTATCAGTGAAGCAGAACAATTCCTTCTTCGTGATAAGTTCACAAGCACTCCAGCATATGCTTGTCCCAGTATCCGCATATTCAAAGACGTTGGAACACTTACTGAAAAACAGTATCTGGATACTGACAAAGAGCAAATTGAAAATAAACTCCAAAGTCTTTCTTTTGATTACATACATTCCGTTTCTTATCATTCAACCACAGCTATGGATACAGATCCAACATACTGCTATGTGAAAAAAGAACCAAGCATATCTTGTTCAACAATGCTAGATAAGACTACTAGTACTGTTTGTGATGGCCAAACTCAAACACCACTTACAATGTATGAGTGAGTTGATATATTATCCAGAACTCGTAAATCATCTTGTCCTTAGATCCTTCGAGGCTGTTGGATGTGAGACATTGAAAGACGTGCTTTACAGAAAATATTTATGATTCACCTTCCTGCCATTACGATTCTTCAATAACTCGGAATTAACTTATGTTAACTCTTTGTCGCTGCTTCATTGATATCTTCTTCTGCTTCTTGAGTTCAGAGTTTTTCGGTATATGTGTTTGAATAAATATTGGGACGGCTTGATAGATCAAAACCAGTCAATAAGTTACGCGTGGCAGTTATGACAAACAATGCCATCATACGGTGATAATGATCAATGATCACTACAATTGAATACTGTACTATGTAGTATGCGTATAAGTTTGAATTGTTTTCCATATATGTTATATCATATATAATAGTTTGTAGTTTAAATCATAATTGTTTATTGAACAAGCAAAGCAATATGAGGTTAGAACTATGTTTGTGATCAAAAAAAAAGAAAAAAAGAAAAGAGAGAGAGAGAAGGAGATAGTATGGTGGGTTATCTGAACAAAAAGCTTTTCTATTAATCCCTTGAGGAAC